ACTACACTCCCCGAATCCCAACCGCCGCCAGCGGCTTCGCGCCCCTAGTACGTGCGCCCAGAGCTACCGTCTCTTCCACCAACCACTGCTGTAACCTCTCCCATCACGGGCGGGGCACCCAAATAGCTGCTGTTGTGGTTATCTCCCGTGTGCTTCGAGTCCAGAGTCCAGACAGACCAACCTCGGCGTGTTTTGTTCTCGATCCCGCGATGAACGCACACGATCATTACCGCGGCTTGACGTTCCCCTAACGCGATGTACTCCCGGGAGCGTTGTGTTCACGTGTGTGGGTGTGCGGGCAGCTGCGTGCGAGCTCGCCGACTGAGTTGATGCCTTCGTGTGTGTGCGATGGCGCTCGTGTCAATTTGTCTCTATCTCAGTCCAAAATACCTCAGGTGAAAATATTTTGACCACGTTTTCGAAAAATTTTGACCTGTAATTCTGACATGAAAAAGTGCGGCGTAACCTCTCGTGTCAAAATTCTGAGGTCTCGTGTCAAAATTCTGGTCTCGTGTCAAAATTNCGAACTACACTCCCCGAATCCCAACCGCCGCCAGCGGCTTCGCGCCCCTAGTACGTGCGCCCAGAGCTACCGTCTCTTCCACCAACAACTGCTGTAACCTCTCCCATTACGGGCGGGGCACCAAACTAGCTGCTATTGTGGTTATCTCCCGTGTGCTTCGAGTCCAGAGTCCAGACAGACCAACCTCGGCGTGTTTTGTTCTCGATCCCGCGATGAACGCACACGATCCTAACCGCGGCTTGACGTTCCCCTATTCGTGTCAAAATTCTGGTCTCGTGTCAAAATTTCGTGCTCGTGTCAAAATTCCTGACACACGTGGGACCCATGCAATGGTGAAAGTACTCCTAACCGAACTCGAGTACAATGTAGTAGCCTTGGTAGACGCGTGCAGTTTTCTTCTGTTGCTGCTGTTTTTGTTTTTGATCCGAAGGATATTTTAGCCTCCCCCATGTTTTCCCCTCACAGGGTCCCAGTTCATGGCAGATAGAAGTGTGTTGGGTTTTCAACCGCACTAAGGACTGACGTTTTTCATGGATCAGCCGGATAGCGCGGTCGATGCCAGTAAAAAACACACACCCACACGCTCTTTGCCGATACACGGTAGACGAGAACATGACAACAAGTAACGACCACTATCAATGAAGCAGGCAGCCGCAAAGATGTAACTTCCTTTGTGTGAGGAAAACCTAGGAGGACCCGATGATGGTTGGTAGTTGTTCCATACTTCGGTTTAGAACGCCAAACAACTGCGAGAAACAAACGTGCCATCACACGAACGACTGAAATCTCGCCAAGCAAACCAGGTAACCTTTCCCGCGTTGGAGCATGCACGGGACGCCATTCGCAAGCCTCCCCACCCCACCGTCTCAGAGCGGGCTCGAGTGCCCTGGGCTACAAACCCACGATGAGTCGTGTTCGACTACTGTAAATAGTCACTGTCACGAAGTAATTTGTCTCGCCACCACCAGGCAATTCCCCGCATATTTCTTGGCGCTTGAAAGGTCTCTCCTTTCAACGAGTCAAAGATGCCCCTCTAAGTTGCACCCTCTTTAGCGACCTTGGCCACTTGCAATCATGAGTAAAACCGTCACCCGCAGACATTCCGTCAAACCTCAGTTCGACAATAGCTGCAGGTCAACGTACGACTAACGGTTTTTGTTTGAAATTCGCCGCGAACGACGACGCCTTCAGAGTAGGAGCCCAATCCCACTGGAGAGTGAAAATCGCCTGATTGAATGATTCCCCGAAGGCAAGCGATTCCAATCCAGGCGGCCACTGCAAGCTGTCAACCTTCGTGTCGAACGTACCTCCAAGCACCAACTTCTTGAGGCTGTTAGACCAAGTGGTGTCGCTTACACGCGCCCAGCAGTCTGACCCAATCTCAAGTACTTCTAGCGAGAACGGCCACGTAGCGCATTCGACCGAATTGATTCTGTTGAAGTGATCCGGGAGCAAATCTCTACGCAAGTCCCTGGGCCAACGAACATCATCAACCTCCTAGTTAAAGTGCAAGGCGAACGACACCTCCTGCAGGCTCTCAGGCTACATAATGCCGGGCAGGGCTGTTGAAAGTCCCCCTTAACTGTAGAACCTTGAGCTTGTCAGGGAGTACCACACACCCCGGTTCCCCGTTCCACGCACACACGAAGGTGAGATACTGAAGCGACACAGGCCAGATAACGTCTCGCACGTTTTGGACGAATGCATCACCGGTCGTCAGAGCGATCGATGCCTCCGGCCAATGATGGCCGGTCAACGGCTGGTTAAACCACGGCCCACCGGACTGCAACCATTGGCTGGTCGAACTGTCCTCCTAGGCAAATGCCCTCGATGGAATCTCCGAAGATCACACCTTCAATGGATTTGTCGAGGCAGCAATTCTTCTAACCAGGAGGCCAACTGATACTTTCGAGCGGCTGGTTGAGTCTGCTCTCGCAGCTTCCTCCGAATGACATCTCCCCAAGTGTGGCCGGCCACACCACTCCGCCCATGGGCGAATCGAAACCACCACCGACCCGAAATACACGGAAGGGACTGGGCGACAATATCCGAATATGTGCTTTCGTAGCAGGGACCCAGATTTCCGAGAAAATCGTAAGCTCCCTGACTCCGTGCATGTTGTCGTGGAACTCGTTAAAAAGAGGGCCCGATGTAGGTGCTCTCCAAGTAAGGGTAACCGAAGTTTCTGGCTTCATTTTGGCTAGTAAAGGTGCCATTTCTCCATCGAATGTCGGCCCCTGGTAAATCTCTGAGCCTAGAGTAGTCCTACGGAGAGGATTCAACATCCCAACGTGGGTTACGTTGGCTTTTGAAACCAGGAACCCTCTGGCAACTTCATACAATGTCTTCGACACGAGCACCAGCTGCGCAGTGTTGATGAACCACGACGTGTCGGACCCTGCAAGCTGTCCGACGGCGATGCTCAGGATGTCCTCACCCTTACCCTCGAGAGTAGCTGCAAAAGTAGGGCGCAAGAGGGAGATGGAATGCAAGGCCGCGATGTGTAGGGCAAAGGTCGTCATTTGGATGGGAACGGTTTTGCTTTGCAATCTCCCGAACGTCGATACTAGTTTCTTACGTTCTCGAAATCACGAATCGACTGGTAGAGCGCTAATAGCCGGTACCGCAGGCAACCTTAGCATGGATACCTCATCGAGGAGCGAGCGCAAGGCGCGTGGCAAATGGTGGTGGACTACGGTTTCGGTGCCATGTAGAAGAGAATAGGCCGTAACATGGGGTCGTGCATGGCAGAGGGTGCACTCCGAACCGGGTATACCCTGCGAAAGATCGTCGAGCTCTTCACTTCCCTCGCCCGCCATGGCCACATGCGGATGCACCTGGATGGCCGTAGGACAAACAAGACCCAGCGCCGTCTGCTCGAGACGCCCTTCCTCCAACGGCACGGGCTGTCTGGCCCTCAACACAACTTCGTGTTGGAACTCTACGACGGCAGCGAGTTAGAAGGCCTGGGTATCGTGCCCGAGGATGCCTTTCCGCAAATTCGCGCTTCTAAGGGAGACATCGCGCCATCGTGGGTAGATCGATGCTTCGCGTTGACTTCGCCCCGACCTGCTGCGGACGCTCAATGTGCATTTGCGAAATTGACGCCGTAGCCCACACCATAGGCAGATCGTTCGCCGCGAAACACGCCAAGAAACGGTGTGTTGGAGCTTGCAAAAGCGTTTTCTATCTACGGACGTACCACGAGCAACTCGGAGAGGATGGACTCAGGAAACACACGGTCTACATGGGTTGACGGTGAACCGGAATGGATTGCCTAGAAACGCGGTAGAGCAGTGATCACTTCGAGGTGAGACTCACTGCGCCTGCTGTACGTACATGTCGAACGTGAGTTGGTGCTCTTGGGTGACCTCCGAGGAGAAGTTTTCACGTTTGAAAAGATTGCACAGGCCTTCCCTAACTGCCACCCCCCATATTCCCACCTGTTCGGCCAACAATTGAACGTGCACGGACGGTGGGGGGTCAGAGGTGGGCTGTTCGTTTACACTTGCCATCCGCCGCAAGTTCCACCCCCAGTGGGGGCCACCATGCGAAACCTTCCCCAACGCACGCTTGTTAATGATACACATCGCTGCCACGTTAAACGTCTGTCAGGGCAGGCTTCAACTCCAACGCTGAACTGCGCTCCAACGCGGTCGCCGCGGACGTCGTCGGCGGGCGGGAGATATTTGCTAAAGGCTGACCATTTGACTACGTGTACAGTCATGATGACTGTGCACGTAGTCAAATGGTCAGCCTTTATCCAATAAAAGATACACTCTCGGCTCGTAGCCAATCCCAGTGGATCTGATAGGGTGTAGTGATCTCCGGGGACGGACCCCTCGCCACAAGATGCTGCTATAAGCCGATAATGGTGCCTTGAAAGCGATCCACCGGGATTCGAACCCGTGCGTGAATACTTTATTGGATAAAGGCTGACGATTTGACTACGTGCACAGGCATCGATGACTGTGCACGTAGTCAAATGGTCAGCCTTTATCCAATAAAAGATACACTCTCGGCTCGTAGCCAATCCCAGTGGATCTGATAGGGTGTAGTGCTTCCGCATTGTGCATTCCCGCCCATCGACGTAGATGTAGTGCCAACGACTATTGCCGACTTCCAGCCTGTAATTACGGCTGCCGTAGCATCGTCTGAGATTGTTTCTCCCTCCGTCGTTGACCCGAGCGATTCTCGTGAAGTTGTGATCAACCCCCTCATCCCTCAGGACCATTTGCCTCTCATGGATATGAGCATGTTCCTTGATGTTGGCCTGATGGATGGAAAAGACTCGGTCCCACAGGGTGACTTTTTCCCGGATGCGCTTGATGTTTGCGATTCCGCAACACCCCCTCCCCCCGCGTTTCCCGTGATGAGTGATGACTTGGAGTGCCTGAAGGGTTTTGTTGCTGGATACAGTGAGCAGCAGACCGTAGCTCCCCTCTCTCTCTCGCATGCCTTGGCGATTATCGCCCCCGGTGCTTCCCCATTTTCGGTAGGAAAATCCACGCCCACCATCGACATTAATTTGTTCCATGCCTCCACCGGCCATGTCAACGAATTCTTGATGCGTGAAACGGCCAAGCAGCAGGGCGTACGATTGGTGGGGGAGATGCAGCCGTGTGTGGGCTGCGTGGAAGCGAAGGGTAGGCGGGCCCCGGTGCCGCGGCGTGGCATCCGCGCGGCGGTACCGTTCGGCAAAGTCCACATCGACCTCACGGGCCCGTTCTCTGACGCGTTGGACGGCTCCCGGTATCTGATCATGTTCGTGGACAGCGCATCGCGGTGGCAACGGGGGTACGGGATGCGGGCCAAGAGCGACACCCTGAAGTTCGTGCAGCGGTTTCTCGCCGACATGAACGGCATGGGCACTCCGGGG